TGGAGCGATTTGTGGAATGAAGATTGGCAGGGGAAACCGAATAACTCGGAGGAAACCTACCCCAGCGTCACTTTGTCCACCACAAATCCCACTTGACCAGACCCGGGATCGAATCGGGGCCGCAGCGGTGGGAAGGCAGCGACTAACCGCTTGAGCTATGGCGCGGCCCATGTTGTACAGATACTGCAGTTAGGTACTATGCTACAAACCGGAAGTTCGAGGGTTCAGTTTCCGGTGAGGTCATTGGATTTATCTATAGACCTACTCCTTCCAGCCGCACTACGGCCCTGGAGTCGACTCAGCCTCTAACAAAAATGAGTACCAGGAATCTTTCTGGGTGTAAAGGGCAGCCGGCGAGTAAGGCTGACAATCTTACCGCCATCTGTAAGCCGACTCTCTAGAAAATGTGGGAGTCTCGACGTCTCAATAACCCTATGGGCATCCACAGCCTGTTACAAGGATAGTTTTACTTTTTTTTTTGCTTACGTAGTTAATATTGAATGGCACAGGGACAGTTCAGTGACGGCCATCGGGTTGGACGGTCGAGGAATGAGAAAGACATTTTTCTTTCAACGAAGTCAGGATCGGCTCTGGGGCACACCCAACGGGAAATCAATCCATCTGATCTAAGGCTTTTTGGCAAAAAATTAAAATTGATGAAAATAAGCAAGCGCTTATCTTGTCTTGTCTGTTCGTTTCTTGCTTGGCTCACTCTTTTATTCCTTAAAATGGAGGTGATGTGCTCCTCCGAAACGACGGGCAGTCCAAGAACTAAACTGCGCTGCAACCCCGAAGACTTACTGGTCTGTGTGTACAGTTTGTTGCTGTGATGGTCGTTATTTTGGAACGTTGTATGGAATGATCTAGTTCAAACATTGAAGAGAATGTCTATTACGGAGTTCATAAGGCAGGTATAAAACGGAGTTCAGGAGCTGCATCGTCCCCTCTGTGTTGCATGTGGCACAGTGTTATTCCCTGATGTTTCTCTGACGTAGTTTCACTTTGTGCTGTGTAAATATGGAATTAATTGATCAGTTTCAAAGGAGATGAAACATTGCCTTTATACACAGGTCATTGTGTATGAATATTGTGACATGTTTGCTCAAAGCAAGAACTACAGATCCAGAGAAACAACCGTTGCTAGCAAACGGCTCTGAAACAACATTGTTTTCTAGGCTAACAAACAAACAAACAAACAAACAACGGAACAATATCCGTTGCTAGGCAGCAGATTGTTAATAGTACAACAGTTGAACTACAACAATGGAAGAGCTGTGTTTTCTACGTGGTTCGTGCCGAGGAGTTATAAGCGAGACGACGTATATGATTATATAAGAAAATTATGCAGCCAATAATCGGAAGTCATACAAAATCATGATAACGAAAATGTTCGCAATATTGGACAAGGAGAAACCCGATATATAAACTATAAGAGGCTTAAACTTGGCGGCGGTCAGGTATACGACCGTTCAAGTGACTAGACTGCCGTTGTAGCGGAAGCTACAAGAAATAGGTCATAATATGCTGTACTGAGCCTGGACAGACAGAGGCCCTGTATATATTTAATATATAATATAACATGTAAAATGTAAATATCCTTTACATTATGATAAATGAAGACCCGTCCTTTCGTCAGAGAGGGCTCCCCACAATAACAAGTGGCGTTAGAGACTACTGTTGGGCGGGAAATGTCCTTGAATTTGGCTCAGTGACCTCCTTTGGAGATATGAGGTCCTTTTACGTGCCGTAAATCTACGACACGGGACCCACGGCTTAAAGTCCCTCCCGGAGGACTTGCTCCCTGAATTTTTCCGCCCTTAAAAATTTCACGACCTCCGCCGGGTTTGAACCCGCGTACCACGAGTCATGAGGTGGGAACGTTACCTCTATACTACGGAGGCCGCTTTTCTTTGGGGGTAAGACTGCCGGTGCGTGAATGTGACTACTTATCTCCATGTAACAAACTTGTCTTGAAAGTGTGGAGCCTTTCTTCCGTGTCTTCTCTACACCTTAATTGATTCATGTCTTCTAATTATTTAAAGACGGCTTCTCAACTGAATAGTTTATGGGACTTAAGAATTGCAGGATCAGTGTTACGGCTCTTAAGTAAGAAGAGCCTCTACTGGCCCAAATGTGAACAGAGATATTTAGTCTATAAAGCTGTTAAACTACTGCTGTACAGCATGCTGAAACCTCAACGGGATTTTCTTTAAAAACAAGCATCAAAATACACAAGACGTGTAAGTTCATACTAAGAAACTGAATTACACACAGTTCTGGGGGAGACACAGATTCGATCTCCATCCATGGATCTACATTCTTTTTTGTTGGACTCTGACCGCTTTTTCAATTTCTTAATTCTATATACAGTCGGTAGGACTCCCTGCACGGGGGATCAGCCCCTCGTAAGGCCGGTGCCTACACACAGAACAACACAAACACAGAATAAACGCATACAGACATCCATGTCTTGAATGGGTTTCGAACCCACGATCCCAGCGTTCGAGCGAGCGAAGACAGTTCATGCCTTAGACCACGCGGCCAGCCACTGTGAACGGCAGATTCGACCCCTACGAAAAACAAATTTCCAGTACTGACAGCTCGCACTCTTCAGCCAAAACTTGATCCGATGCGTGATAGAGTGGATGAGCTGAAGGTTTATCTGCGGAAGGAATTGCTAGAGATGATAAATATTTATTTCAAATGATCCGCCAATTTTTATAATTCTACGTCATTCAGAACAATGTTCGGCTGCGCAGTAACACAAGAAGTTGTACAACGCGCATAGGAAGAAAACTGAGTGTATGGTGGTAATGTTGGGCCGCGCCATAGCTCAAGCGGTTAGTCTCGGGCTTCCCACCGCGACGGCCCGGGGTCCATCCCGGGGCTGGTCAAGTGGGATTTGTGGTGGACAAAGTGGCGCTGGGGTAGGATTTCTCCGAGTACTTCGGTTTCCCTGCCAATCTTCATTCCACGAATTGCTCCACAATCACCCTCACCTATCATCTGGGGCTGGTGCAATAGGCCAGAAGTGGCCGCAGTACAAGGGACTTAGTCCCACCCCACTAGCAATAAAGAAAAGTGATGGTAATGTTGAATTGATAGCTATTAGTGATATTTTCAAGGTGGCTGTCAGTTTCTTTTTGTGTCTGCAGGCCAAGTCACTTCACCGTCGACTGTCATAGTTGGTCAAGTTACGACTGAAGGAAATGTATTTTTGTTGTTTAGTGGTGAACTAGATGGTGGCCATTGGGATAATCCGTTGCCAGTTGAGTGAAAAAAGAGGTTATACATTTCTGACGAAGTTTTCTTTTTCAGACAACTTTTGCCTATTTAATTTCCTTCAGAGGGCAGCACTGTTTAATGCATATCGCCATTTTTATAAAGTTTAGTACCTAAATGTGAATGTATCGCCCTTCATGAAATTTTAAATTTACTGAGGTTATGTATATTTTTTGATTAATCACGGTTTCTATACCTTCGCCCAACACTTCATATTTTTAGCACGCGCTAGCGTAGTTGGTTGAGGCACTATGATACAAGCCGGAAGGTAGCGGGTTCAAGTCCCGATGAGGTCATTGGATTTTTTCCAGTTGACCTAATCCTTCCAGCCGCACTATGGCCCTGGGGTTCACTCAACCTCTAACAAAAATGAGTACCAGGAATTAATTAAATAATTTTCCTGGGGAGTAAAGCGCGGCCGGCGCGTAAGGCTGACAACCTTGCCGCCATCTTTGAGTCGATTGTCTAGACAATGTGGGACCCTCAACATCTCACAATCCTATAGGCCTTCACGGCCTGGTACGGGGATAGCTTTACTTTACTTTTTTTATAGTAAGTGACTGAAGTGAATGTACCAATGAGTCAATCCGTTTATTATATCAAATTAGGAACACTACAAGCTTCGACCTTGCTGACCATCCTCAGGTGTACACATGTAAAATGAGAAATGTTTTTGCTGAGTATGTAGTTCAAAGTGCATCTATTTTTGGTCAATATAGTTAAAGTTTCCTCAAATATTTTTAAATGGTGTTGTAAAATGTGAAACATACTGTTTATGAAGTTGTGGAAATACAAAATATAAGTATATACAAGTCTATATACTTTTTATGTATTTTTGCAACTTTATGTACTGTAGACTTCACATTTTACGTACTACACCAATTAGGATATGTCTTAAGAAACTTTAACTATATTGTCACGTAGTATGTGCTTGAATATAGGCGGGGTTTGGATTGGTGAATAGATATATTGACTACTTACCGATAGTAACTAAGAACTCTAACACTCGCGCTATTTCCAAACTTTACAGTTCACTGGAACACCCAGTCTAGTGTTCTCAGTGTGTTACTAGACGTTTCCTGGTAACGGCTCCAACAATGGCTATTCCTCTGCATCCGGCTCAAGTTCTCGCTTCACAGACTTCCGTAGAGAAGTGACTTTACTGGCTTTATCTCTTGCTTATAACATCTCGGCACGGAAGGCATAGAAAACACAGCTCTTCTATTATTGCGTCCAACTGTTACATTATTAAGAATCTCTTCCCTAGCAACGGGAACGTCTTTACCAAGCCGTTGTCCAGAAACGGTCATGGTATGCCCTCCCATCTCGCGGTCGTTGTATAGCAACAGGTGTTTACGCCACAATATTGCCAAAAATTGATCCATTTTAAATTATATATTCAATAGAAGCGTACTATATTTGTGATTTTACATGAGTAGACCTGAGGATGGTCAGCAAGGCCGAAGCATGTAGTGTTCCTAAATTGATATACTAAACGGATCGACCCATCGGTACATTAGTGCACTCACTTATTATATAACGGCAAAAATCATCATATGCTGCGCAACGGTATAGATACCGTGACTATACATTCACAACAGGATGCAAAGCATAACGATCTTTTATTGAGTTTGTTTTTAAAAATTCCCTTTTGAAATTTCAGCGAACTTTATCCTAGTAGGCCTGCTTAATATCTTCTTCAGATGAACTATACTCACGGGTCTTGGAGCGCGGTTCACGGGGCCCATCCACGGTCACTTTTATGGCCTTATTGTACGTGGCGATTTGAGGGGGAGACGTATTCACGGTGATGGTGATGCTGAAGCTCTTTCCTGGAACAGAGACATAATTCAGACTGAAACACTGTCACACTGGGCAGACGGGGCAAAGACATATAGTTCACGTCGGAACAAATACGTAAATCAGGCTGAAACGATGACACAGCTCAGATGGGGAAAGAGATACATGGTTCAGGCCGAAACAAATTCATGATTTAGGCTGAAACAAAGTTACACTTCAGGCGGGAACAAAGGCATATTTTACTGGCGTTCCTTCTGTAATCATTCCAGCCGCATTATGGCCCCTGGTGTCGACTCAGCCTATAACAGAAATGAGTACCAGGAATCTTCATGGGGGTAAAGGGCGGCCGTCGCATAAGGCTGATAACCTTACCGCCATCTGTTAGCTGATTGTCTAGAAAATGTGGGAGCCTCGACGTCTCACAGCCCTATGGATCTCCAAGGCCTGTTACAGGGATAGCTTGGCGAGTAAGGCTGACAACCTCACAGCCATCTGTGAGCCGATTGTCTAGGAAATGTGGGAGCCTCGACGTCTCACAACCTTATGGGCCTCCACGGCCTGTTACAGGGATAGCGTTACCTTTATGGCGTTCTTTCTGATGTTCTAGTGGAGGTGGTTATACTTGGACATAGATAATATGCTGCCAGAGAAGCTTGTAGTTGCTGTGGTGATACTTCTTCATTACACAATTACGCTTATGGCTGAATTTCTCTTTGAATGAACACAATAATGTACTCTTCTGTCCTCACAGCCGATACATGCGTATATCCGTCATGCTGAGAGCGGCAGCGAGCTAAATGGAACGTAGGACCGTATTAGTTTATAGTGTGAACAATCGGCCACAGGAATATAGCACTTTATTTCGGTCTGATTTTTCTCGTAATTTCATTACGGACGTAAAAGCTAATTGTTAGTATAAAAACAATACAAACTCGTGGCTTGTAGTCCGCAAACGAACTATACCGACCGAGCGACCGCCTCTTGTCGGCGAAGTTAGTGCCAACTTTTGCGGATAGAGGGTGTCGTGTGGTCAGCGCAACGAATCCCCACGGCCTTTAATTTCGGTTTTCTAGACCGGAACCGCCATTTCCTTGAAACAGCTTCTCAATTATCCTCACAAGGCTGAGTGGACCCCGTTCAGACCAGGGGCGTAGGGTACATGGATGTGGTGGAAGCATTGCTTCCCTATAGAAAAGCAACCAAGAACATTTCTGGCAATTTTTCAATTTCAAAAAAATATTTCATACTTCAAAATATTAATTAATCTGAGAACATATATTACATATAATGAGAATATTGCAAGTTTTAATGTGTTACATAAACAATTTATCAGGATAGATCAGTTATTTTCTTCCAAAATGCAGGGAAATTTAAACTGCAACACGCGCGGAAGCAGCGGGTCTTTCGCTTCCACCCTCCCCTGGGTTAACTGGCTGACTCAATGTCAATGTTGTCTGTAAGTGAGCTATGCGTTATGGTATGCTACCAGCTTCGTGCTTCCAGCAATGCTGCCAGATGTAAGGCACAGTTTGCAGTAGAATAATCTGTGACCTTGCAGTTAAGCGTGCTTACTAGAAATTCGCAGAACCAGGATAGGTTGTCATCACTGGCTTTGATGAACATTGAAAAGTCCTTCCTAAACAAACTGCAGTCCAAACCCAGCTTTCTAGATGAGGTTATTGATCTGTTTGCCAAGAAAAACAGAAGAATCGAGCTGAATTATAAACAATAAAGTAAGCATTAATTATATTCCAGGTTCACAGCCCTGTCATTTGATGGCTATAAAATTGTGTTGATAATTATGTGTTATTTTAATATATTAGCTTAAATATAGAATACATATTAAACTATTAGCTGTTTTCTTTTAAATAGAAGATAGAAACTATAGGGTATGTAGAAAAAATTTATATACACGTATATAAAGTTGCTTCCCTGCTTTCGGTAGTCATGCTACGCCACTGGTTCAGACCCACTACTTCTCAGAAAATCTGGTAGCACCGGTAACTGAACCCGGGACCTCTGGATCTGTAACCAGGAACTGTGACCACTAGACCACAGAGGCGGTCTCTTGTTAGTATTGCACTTTAATTTTTTTACAATTTCCAAAGATTGTTAGTAATTATAAAAGGGGGTATGTGGCATGTGACCATACATGATTCCCAATTGTCGCTGTGGGTACACTTGTTCTAATACAAACCTCTGATACTTGTTTCCGTTCTCGTGCTCCCACTTTGTAATAATTTGCGCGACCTGCTATGTATATTACGTGTATTTCATTATGGATGAATCCCACTTTGCCCCCTCTCCATTTCCACAGCCTTCCCCTGCACTACATTATGATTTACGAGGTACCATAAAAGAGAACACGCGGTCTGGACATGTCTCCAACCCAGCTCCACTCCACCGAGTCTGACATCGACTTCGCTTGCCGAATACGATTCTCTGTCCGCCTATTCTGATACAATTCTGTTTCGACACCGAACGTTGAGATTGTCTGCATAAATCCCTGCTTCGTATTCGGGAGGTCATGAATATCCACTCCATTGACTGAAGCTTTTCGTCATTTTACTCAGACCCTACAGGAAAATTCAGGGGCAGTGCGTCAAGATAGGCCATGACCATTTTTAGCCTAATTTCCTTACTTTGAAAAACGATAGGAAGCTTATGAGCTCACCTTATTATCTGTGTGCCCCCCATCCTAATTTCTTAGGCTTACGGGATCACCTTGCTGTGTGTGTGTCTGTGTACCCTCCTAATTTTCGTTAGAAGGTTTATGAACTCGCCGTTTTGTCTGTGTCCCCCCCCCCTTATTTTTTTCGTTTTCTGTGCGATCCATGTCATATCAGAGGAAAACAGGCTATCAGCTCTTCCCAGAACTTCTTGCCTTCGCATCATTTTGAGTTCATCTTTCACTAATCATCCTACATTCGATGCTTTGTAATCTTAAATATTCAGTCATTCATTTGCAATGACTCTACAGCCCTTTGTTGGGCCCTGGCCTCCTCTTCAGTTTCATAATCTTCTTTACACAGGGATAATTTTGTCTTTTTTTAAATAGTGAACACTTAGGTAAGAAAATACATTTACCGACTACCGTTAGTAAAAGTTATTCACGCCTCTGTAAGCAAATGCTAGAACTGAGAATTAGACATGAGTGCTAGAGTCGTGTCTTAGTACTTCTGAGTACATCTTCCGCATTGTTCTGACGGCCTGCTTAGGCCCAGTAGTTTACTGATATGTTTTCTAATTATTACCAATTCGCAATTCATCCCGTCTGATTCATTCTAATCTATGCATTTATTTATACTGTCATGTGATTGAGTTGCTATAGATGGGGTTTCGGCTGGATTTATTCAACTCTTACAAACCACAACTACCACTAACTATAACGCTATCCCTATTTCACACACTCTAGAATTCACTACATCACGCACTAAGTCTTTTCAGTCTGCTGTCTCTTCACCAGTCGTTGTCTGGTAACGGCTTCCAACGGCGGACTTTCCCCGTACTCTTGAGCTCCCAAGCTATCCCCGTGCCTCAGCTACCAGCTTCTAACAGCAACAGCTCACAATGACTGAACTGCAGCAGTCCTCAATCACTCAATCACCAACCAGCTGCTTCACTCACTGACTAATTCTCCAGTCCAATCCAGTAAATTGCTGCTAGTCCTCGCTAGCACAGTCGTTCTTTTTTTGAGGCCCCGTCGGGACCCATTAACATATTTTTGTTCTTTACAGACTTTTACGTGTTTCGAATGGGGTCTCCTTTTTCAAGAAGAGGAAGGGCGTGACTACTACTAGTCACTTCCCCTCTGCCGGGGAATGACACTGCTGGCGCCCACTCTCACTCATTCACTCACTCCTCCTTCACTCAACTCTAACTCGTCCTGCTTATAACATCTCTGCACGGACCGCACGGAAAACACCGTTATTCTATTGCAGTTTATGGGTCATTGCCTAGTAGCGGTCGTTGCCTAGTAAAGGATCTAAGTGCCACAATATTTACTATTATGAAAGCGTTTCTTTCCATGACAAAACTTATTTTGGAGATAAATGATAACAATTAATGAAAGATATTGCAATAGTGATCCGAAATGGATCAAAACTAAAATAGCGCTTATTTTCTTATGAAATAGACTCTTAAATTTTATCGAAATACGTCGAGTAGTTTCGGAGATGAAATATGCGGGCGAACGAATCTGCAAACACGGTGTATATAGTACGTCTCGTATTGTCTCGTGTCACAGTGACTAAGACGCGTGTTTGGATTGGTGAATCGGTTTATTGGATATTCAGTAGTTGTAACTCTCTCAAGGTTACTGTAATTATGACACATAAAGTCTTCATTTCACACGTTAAGGTTTTCTACGAACTTCTCTGGCTGTCGCCTACCGAGAACTGAACTGAACTGAACTGAACTGAACTGCTGGTGTTATTCTAGTTATATAGCCCCCGCACGGACCACACACAGAAACCCCAATTCTTTTGTTCCATATGGAAGACCACACAGAGAATAAGTCAAGCGATTCCTAGCCAGCGTCTTAATCGGTGCACTGTTTCCTAGCAACGCGCAATAACATTCCTCCACTGAGATACATCTCCCATTGTTGCCTTGTGTGTATTCGGTCGCGGGGTGTTTACCGGTCCGTTACATAGCAACGCTCTGGGCATCCACGTTACACTATTAACATTATCCCTTATTATGACAGAGGTAGATGCATCCCTGTACCGTAAAAATTGCAATGGAGGCCGGGACGATAATAATATTTTGGATTCCATTTATGTCTCGAAACCGGTACACAATTTATAAAGGGTGACCGCATACATGCATATGAATTATATAGGAATATTGTGCTCAAGTCTCATGCAGTTACTTGTTCTAAAGTAGTAACCGACTTCTTGCACATACTGTAGTTTATATTGCCTGTTACTGGAATATTTACAATATCCTTCACTTGCCTGTAACATTGTAACATTTTCCGGATTCACATGTTAGAAGATTTAGGCAGTAATAACCACCGAAAATGCTATGG